GGGGGGGGGGGGGGGGGGGGGGGGGGGGGGGGGGGGGGTTGTGACAGTTAGAAAAAACATGCAAAGAAAAATGACTGGGAAAATAATTACTGCAGCCAGTAATTAAGAGAAAAAAATCGTGGAAGCAATTGATTTAAATACTGAGTTTATATATGTATGTTTATATATTATGTTTTACATATATATTTATTCATATAGCTTATTTTACCTCAAAAATTTGCCACAACAGTCTGCATGTTTCATCCAACGCTTGAAGCAGAGTTTACAAACTAAACTAACTTAGTTTACTTATGCTGGATCGGCATATAGCTCTACCAGTTCGAACTTAACAATTCGTAAATGACTTATACCTGATCAATTGGCAATGATTCTTGTGGAGTGTCCACTGCCTTCAGTGGGATATCGACATGTGTTAATAGCCTTAAATCCCGCTTTAGTCGTTTGTATTTTACAAATAAAACAATTATGATGCTAAGAAATACGCCAGCCACTGTTGTCGCTATGATAATATTAATGATTATGCCAGAGTTATCTGTACAATCTGTTGTTTCCTTGACTGAATCTTTAAAGATAAAAAATTTTTTAGTTATTTCTATCAACGAACTCAAAAATACTGAAATGCTACGTAAGTTAGGGGTACTGTAAAAAGGGCTAGTAGAAAAGACTATATTTCCAAAGAGTGCAGCTCCTTACCTGAAGTAACTTGTACACGATCTGTTTCAATATAGCGCCATTCACCTTCTGGAACCACGTCTTTCACACTAACATAGACTCTGAATACGTAATTTCCTCCGGCAATAAGGTTGGACACAATCACGCTGGTCTGCCTCAAGTTATTCGAGCTAGGATGGTATGCCTCGTCCTGACATGGAATACAAATTCTCTGGCTACATATAAAACATGTGACGTTGTACAAGATAATTTCATTTAGGCTGTTTTTTGGTGCTGTCCACGATAATTCAACACCATAAGCAAAAAGTCTTGCTCTGGGTTTCTCTCTGATTTCTGGCAGAGCTGGAATTATAAAATTTATAGAAATACAAATTAAAGTCACGCAGATGTGATCCTAAAACAGCTGAATCAAAACTGCGATACCCAATGAGACCGATTGTAGGCAAGTGAGACCAATCAGGCTATTGGGTTATGCGTATAACTATGGGCCAGGGTATCCGAAGGCATTATGCATGTAATAGATGGATCAACTTTCTGTTGTTCTGCGAAAGTTTATTAGAAAAAATTCGACTTCCTCTCGAGTTGATGTCAAATTGGAATTTAAGTTCGAGTTTGAAGCCTGCCTGCATGGTGTAATAAAATACATATTACCAACGAAAAATATACATAAACCTACCTAACCTTATCTCATCTAATCTTTTCCCTAATCTTATACCCACTCACCCTAACAACTCGTAACGCTTCGCTTAACCAACCCTACAGTCCCTAACCCCTGATCACAACGCCCAACCCTAGGGCTTGAGCTCATCGAACTCGGACTCATAAATTTCCTAGCCCCTCAAAAAGTACACACGTTATCCACTTTGTGTATTCACAATAAATAAGCTCGAAAAGCGGGATAAAAAGCAACAAATCGGAAAACTTACCATAACAAGGCGATGATTCAGACTGAGAGCTATCGGAAGAACGTTTATAATAACCATCTTTACAAACACAGCTGTTTCTGTTCACGTTACTAACAGTGTTCGCAGGACACTCAGTACAATTGTCGTTTGAAATTTTCTTTTTGAAACTGGTATTTGAACAACCTACAAGGCACAAGAATGAGTAAAAGCAAAGCATAAATACATTGCATGCATTTACACCGATTTCGGTGTTGTGGTAACACTCCCAGATTCAAGAAAATTCAAAGTACATCGTACAAGCCACGATTATATAAACACTGTTTATATATATAGATGAGAATTACACTATGTAATTAGAAGAGCAAAGAATTATTCAAACTAAGCTATGTTTGCAAGTCAGAGTAAAGTTAATGAAACAAAGCTGGAAATATCTTCAGTTATCCTTAAACAAAGAGGATCAGGAAACGTCGAAACCGAACATAGCATAAAACATGCAGCTAAGTACATGTATGTACAAAATGAATTAATATACTATAACTTACTCGAACATGATCCATTTGTTTTATCAGGAGCAAATCCTTCAATACAGAAGCAATTCAAATGATCACCTGCGGGTTTACTCCACGTCCCATTTGAATAACAGTGTATATTAAAACTTGCTTTAGCACCGTTTTGAGGTATAGCGTATTCTGAACAGTTTCCAGTAACATTTTTAAATCCTTTGGTAGGGGATAAAGTTCTTTCAAATTTTATGCCTTTAATGAATGTTTCCTCACAGTAGTAATAATACATTTTCATTCGGAATATACTGCCACACGCTCCTTTAGATCGTATTGCAAGTACCACACCTTGTGAATTGTTTTTGGGAAAGGAAAATGTTTGAACACTTCTGGTTAAGCTTGCGTTGAGTAAGGTATTGTTTGTGATATTGTATAGTGGAGTATATACTTTTAAAAGATCAGCTAAGTTAGGATTAGCTAGTATATATTCATTTTCTTTATCAGTTCCACGATAGATGTATACTTCAAAGTAGTTTGTGTAACATAACGAGTCTTGATTAATGCCAGGATTCCGACATAAGGCGGTGAGTTCAGCTTCTACATCTACATGGATTTCATCAGCAAATACTGTGTTCAGTCCAACATGATTTGTGATTGTCCAAAAGTCAGCTTTTTGCCCAATACCACAAGTTCTTAGATTATTGTTTTCTTTGAGAAACCACTTTAAAAGGCAAATCAATAACAAGATTGGCAAAATAAAACTTTACTTTTGCATTATTTTTATCCAACACCAAGATTATTATTTTCAAGGTAATTAATTCAACAGAAAATCATATCTTCGCACTCGCACATTGGTTAAGGTTACAGGACACCCTTTTTGGCGTTTGCGGAAAATCGCTCAATATCAGTCTGATTTGAACCAAATTTTCACCAAATGTTTGCCAGTGTATGCAAAATATGGTAAAGTTGTAAAATTAACAAACAATAAAATAATATAAGAATTATTCAGGAAAATCTTAAATCGCGTTCCCGTTACGCTTTTGAGTTATGCTCCTGCTGGTTTAAAGTTATATTTATGAAAATATCATTTTTATACAGTAAAATAGTTATTCTAAAAAATTGTGTTCGGAATTTTTTGTTTATTTCGTCATTAACGCTGATATGGCGATTTCTTTGACGACTGCAATATATTTCTGAATTGTTTGAGTGAATTGCTCTTTATTTTTAAAATATCCAAAATTAAAAAAAAGCCGAACACAATTTTGAAACTGACGTCTTTAGCTATGTCCTGTGAAAATTTGAGAA